TTATTGTGTGTTTGAGCATGGCCAGCATCCCATTAACCTGCCGCTGCTTTTCTCTGTTTTATATCAAAGGAAGCCGAACACGTCTGGGGTTTGTGCTGTCGGACGGCCAAAATAAGTAATTTTAGGACGTCACTTCGGGCTGTGGGGTGTTTGACATTGGATTTGGACAGTTTTTCCTGTTTTCTCACGTTTTAACAATGAATAATTTCCTCAAAAAACAATAGGTTTTCTAAATCTGCATGCAATTTTGTATACATTTAGCAACATAATACTCTACATAAACTAACACATAGATGAATCAGATTCATAGATTACAAGTTCTGTCTTCTTTCTGGACGTTGTAACCGTCATCAAGATAGGATTTATTGCAAGACTCTTGTATTAGACTGCATACATTTAACTTGCAGTGATCTCCAAATTACATTCACATTCTATTGTTCTGTTGTCTTCACTTTACTGTCAGAAGTTCTGCCTGTGACTTCAAAAATAAAATAAAAATTGAGTTCCACTTCAGTATGGCATTGTGCACAAGTGAATGAAAAGCTGGAGAACCTGGCCCACGGTTGCTTCAGCCTGCCCAGGCATTTCCGATAGTTGAACCCGTGTTTGTCCCACACATCTTCCATCTGCTGTTGGTCTGTCAAGAATTCAACCTTTGAAAGCATTCAGAAGCTCTGCAACAGCACTGACTTATCCACCGTGATAATTCTGAGTCGGCGAAAGCCAGCGTGTCCGTTGTTTTTTGTTCTTTTGCCTTTTTCTTGGTTCGTTAGTCTTTTTTTTATGGATTTTCCTTCATTTCTGAGTGAACAGAACTGAATGAAACTTCCTTGTTTCGAGCCGTTTGTTGGATTACCGGGAAAACCCAAAGTGGAGTGTTTTTGTTGGAGTGACTGAACGGAACTATTAATGGAAAAACCTGAAATGGACTTCTTTTGTTATACCGTGTTGAAATAAACAAACGGGATTGAATTCTGAAGAGCTTTAGTTTCTTTTCCTTTAATTGTTCCTTAGAAAATTGATGGTGTTAGGTTAATTTACATATTTTACTGTGTTGAAACAATGCAGTCGGGGTTTATGTGTGTACAAGAATTCTCTGTGTGGTTTGACTTTGAGACAATTCGGCTACAAGCAAAAGTCTACATCAGCAGTAAACTGGAAACTGAAAGTCTACAGAAGAATGTGAAAGCATCAAGGTGCACACATCCAGCCTTTTCTGGACTTTTACTTTGTGTTCTGATGTGCTTTTATTGAATACTGAAGTGTTTCTCTGTAGACAAAGTCCTTGCAGTGTTGACAGTAATTTCCGACATCCACATTCACTTTTCTCTCGACCTGAATTACTTTTGAAGCCGTATCAGTTCTGCCCAGATGTTAAAACACACTACAAGCAAAGCCAAATCCAAAACTTGCACACACAGTTTTTTATTCACTTTTGCTCCACATCGAACCGTTGCAGATCATTTATATCCTTAAATCCAGTGCGTGGCAAATCTGCAGCGCCGTCATCGCCCCTCTGTGTTTGTTAACATCAAAGGAAGTCAGGGGAAGCGAGATGGACGACCAAGTTTCATGCCTCGAATCACCTCCTCGACACTGTTTGCTGTCCTTCGTGACACCGGTAGACACTCTGAACTGTGGGTAAACACAGACAAACACACACACAAACCATGAAATCACACGGGCGCCCACGGAAAACACCCCAACCAGTGGACGACATTGTTGTGGTCTGGTGAGTTGCCACAGTAACGGCATAATATTTCTGGGCGGCGTGTCTTGTGTTTGCATGGCACCAAATGCCATTGTTAGCCAACAGGAATTCCATTTAAGGGTCTTTTCTTGCTTATCATGTGTTTTAGATTTGCAGGAACTCATATATCTGACATGCATTAGCGGAGGTAAGAAGTTTTGTTTGGCTGGACCTGATGTAGTGATGTGGGCTCGTCGTGCCTCACAAACACACGACATATTTTCATACATGCAAAAGGCTGCATCGTTTTCATATATAGCCATTCTTGTAAGACTTAATCCTTGTTTCGGCTTCCACGAGTCAAGTGTCTCAGCTGGCTGCGTTTGGTGACTTCTATTTCTGCTGTCTTTTCCGTACAGAATACCGCATGCTATATTGAGCCGAGTGAATGTGGTAACAAGATGCTCATAACCAAAAGCTGAGAGGGAACATTCCACGACTGGGTTCCTGATGTTGTTTTCATGGTCGCTGCTGTCTCGGATGGCAAATATTCCTCCGAATCAAAATAGACTGGTATTTACATTTTCTGCATTTTGCAGACGCTCTCATTCAGAGCGACTTCACAAACCGCCGAGGCTGCGGACCGACACGCATTAGCTGTTGTTGGAAGTGAACTGAATCAGCTCTCGACCAACTAATAGCCCCAGAGACTCGGTGAGGTATTGAAGACAGATCAATTGTCTTTAAGCAGCATTACACAGACTTATTCAACATTTAGCAACAGACCTAATAACAGCACAGAGTCCTGAAGTTGCTGTTGGAGCGGCACAAATGCTCCAGAGAGCCCTCGCATGAAAATGTGATTAAATATTAAATTGATGTTTTGGCCCTGCTCTCTTCCGGAGAGATTTACTAAAAGGTATCAGAGCTGAGTTCATCCTGCTCCCAACCATCTCACGGCTCCTAAAATAAAGGCGGTTGCCAAGCCTCTGTGGAGTTTGTTTACCTTGAAGGATTGAGGAGGTGTTCGCTTGTGGAAGTGTGAAGGTGTTTGCAGGTGGGTTGCACAGTTTAGATTCGCATGTTTCGCTCAGGGTGTAACTGAGAACAAATTGTTCTGAGCAAAGAATCAGGACGTTTCTGTCGGGCTCAAGGTCATTCTGGTTATTATGGGACCCGCTTAAAGTTTAAGGGATTAAATGTAGTTATTATACCAGCTGCATTATTTTCTCTTTCTTTTTAATCCAATCTCTGTTATTGTCTGCAGACAGTTGGAAGTGCAAGAGCTTGCTTGCAAAACAACTTCGACAGACTTAAAGGTCAAAGTAGATAATCCTCTGTGACACATAAAACCTCATATTTTGTTTATGAGGGTTTTCTTTTGTCCACATTTCTTTTTATTTATTGTGCTAAAGATGTCGCACAGATGTTCTTAATGATTCATGCTACTTCAAGACTTCAAGTCAAGTTAAAGTCATGTGGGGCGAAGCCGTGAACTAAGTGACTTCTCTGAACTCTATGAAGCAATCACAATGATAACAATATAAACTGATGTATCAATCCTATAAATCCAGTTTTTTGCTGACAGCAGCTTTGCTCAGTAATTTGCAGTCTCACTTACAATGTCATGAGCAGGCTGGTGGAGGCATTTAATTGTTCCCTTTCTAAAGCGTGTCAGATTTAAAAGACGAGGACAAAATGTACAGTCATTGTTATGTGTAATATTTCATTTTAAAGTTCCTCATAATATATTATGAGGCATCATTGGCATACAGTCTGAGTAAGTTTTGAATACTTTATGGTGTGAAGTTTCCTCCCGATGTTTCCTTGGTCGTGTTATTTTGCTGAGCTGTGGTGGAAGGATTGTAGCTCAATGGGAAAGGTACTTGATTGATTTCTGTTACTCAAACGACTGAAAAACCTCCAATTTGGAATCAAATTTTACACACTCTTCGGTTAAAAACACTTGAAAAATGAACCATTTTGCCACCAGTATGGACAGAGGATCCAATTAATCATGCATTCATCATCAAGTATTGCTTTTGGTACAACTTTCAAAATGTAAAGCTGAATGATTATTTCACTGTCAACTAATCTGTCAGTTAGTTGTTTTGATGCTTGGCCTATAAAAGGTCATAAAATGGTAAAAATCAGAGTTTTCCAAAGCCCAAGACGACATATTCAGATGTCTTTATTCATTCATAACCCACAGATATTCAGTTTGTTGTCGCAGAGGAGTAAAGGAACCAGAAAATTTACAATATGAGAAACTGAAATCAGAGGATTTAGATTTTTTTTTTTCTTTTAAAAAAATACTTAAATCGAATCAAATATTAAAAGTAGTCGCTGTTTACTATCTGACAATATTTGATTAACCATTACATCTCCCCTGTCTTATAACAATTAAAGGGACATATATGTTGGGAACATCAAGTTATGACTCCCAAAGTAATTCCTGAAAATGTCTTTATTCCAGTGTCTTTGTCTTTGCTAAACTGCAGAACGCTGGTTGCAAAACCAAAGCAGAGCCCAGGCTACAAATTACCTTTAACTAGACAGCCCATATACATTACATCTGTTGCATTACTCATCGTTATGTAACTGTGTTTAGCTGTTCTGTGAATCCAGTAAATAAATAAATAAATATGCAGGAGTAGCTGTGTCTTTATGCATTCCCTCTGACCACCACGTGTGCGACCGAGGCATTCGTTCTTTGTAGTTGCCAGATGAGCTGCAGGCATGCGAAGGTGGGTGGATTAGTTGTGCTTTTGTAGATTTCACAGGACCCATATGCTTCCTTATCTGCGTTCAGGCCACTTGACTCCTTTTATTATCTGTAAAAACAATCCCAAGTTATTCCCGTCTGCTGTGGAATAACAACTTTGTGCCGCCTCTGATTCCAACTCTGAAAACTTTTTGAGCTTCCTTTATTTTTACCTTTGACGTCTGTGTGCGTCCTGTTTCCTCCCTTCATTTGTTCTTATGATTTATTGATTAGCCCCGGCACGTGAATCCGCCAGTGCATGCTCGTGTTGGCAGGCGCACAACGAACTAAAACTTTTAAAGGCTGGCAGCGGGAGAGGAGAGCGAGAGAGGGGAGATGAAGGAGACAGGAAAGGAAGAGAATTCACTTCAGGCTGCCTGGTGTGTGTGTGTGCATACTTCAGAGAGTTTTGTGTGGTGAGTGGGTGGGTGCGTCAGTCAGTCGGCCCGGACTCTCTGCAGTGCGCTCAGCCGCTGAGCTCTCCTCTCGGCTGAGTGGAAACATCATGTGTCTGTGGGACGCCCAGAGGAACAGCCCTGTTTCTCCGAACTGAGACCAGAACATCCAGTCAGAGACGGACCGAGGAAGAGAGAGGGAGCGAGATGGGCTCAGACGGAGGCTCAGAGTAGACCATCGGGTGGGAAAGAGTAGGTTTAAGAAAACTGGCATTTCTTTGAGGATAGTTTATCTATTCAGCCACCTGGACCCTACCACTTCAGACCTGGCTATGCCATGCTGGCCCAGAGGAACGGGCTACCTCCAGGCTGTAAGCCGGTTCCTCTGAAGGATCACTCTGACCTGCGGGATGTGGATGTAAACGCAGAGGGATGCTGCTCCCTCTCTCCATCCCCGTCATCTGGAGGTTGTCCCTGGGCTCGGCTAGCCGGGGTGGATGGCTGCTTGTCAGAGCCGTACTGTCTTTGGTTCCAGCTTTTGGCCAGAGCCTACTGGGGTGAAGTGGAACTGGGGCTCACTAGTCCTAACCGCAGCGTGTCCTGGGCTCGGCTCCGAGAAGCCTCCAGGAAGAACTGCGTACGATCTCGGGTAAGGACATTCTGTGTAAGATGAAGAGCATCCCTGCAGTTTGACATTGCGAGGAGCCAAATTGTGGTACAGTTTCCAGGCATTTAGGAACATCCTGTCTCCCTAAAGAAAAACAATGCGTTGAAGGGATATCTGTGTCTGGCAGAGGCATATAGGTTTACATAGGAAGCATTTGAGATTGGAGGAGAGGTTAGGGGCGGCTGCACTTTGTTGTGCTGTCTGAGGAATTTAGTGTGCGTCATCCTGCTCTCCAGCAGCAGGGTAGTCCTGTTTCACTGACCGATATCTTTTGTAACGTGAGTGTGTCTGTGTGTGTTTGGGTTAGGTTTCATTTATTGTTATTGGTCCCCATGGTGGTTTCAGACTGACACTTTCTGTTTACTGTCAAGAGGACAGTATTGTTTTTTGTTCCAGCTGTGTGTATAAGATAGGCTCATATTTTCAGGATTTCTTCTAAACTAAAAGTCATTCTGTATTTTCTGTGCGCAGTGGACTCAAAGCTTAGAGGAATGAAGTCAGTCATTGTTCAGCGCTGGGCCTAAGCAGGGACTTAAAGGCATATTTTCCTATGATAAAGTGAATAAGGGTGACTAATGTTAAACCCTATGGGGAGAGAAGTTTGGAAAGAAAAAGCAACACTGCTAAAGCTGTGGAGCGGTAACCAAGGGTGACTCACACTCGAAAAAAATAGTTTGGAGAAGAGCTGAGTCCACAAGTAATGCCATTCAAATTTAGTCAAACTCCTCACCTCATATACATAAAGAGGCAGGAATAGGCATGCAAATGTACCATCCTGCAGGCTATGGCACCATATGGCTACACACACATCAAACCCTCAGCGCGCACATAATGGTGGCTGTTTTGATGAACAGATTGCATGCATAATTGAGCAGTATTTATCAGGTAATTGTGTGAGCTTGTTTGGAGCGGATTTACAGTATTGTACCTTTTGAATATGCCTCTCCTGGGGCATTGTGGGAATTTACAGCTGCCGTAGCTTCTCTTCATACTGTGCTTTTACTGCTGCTTCTCCTGCTCTATTATTCAACATGTTATATGTAGAGATAGATGGAGAGCGTGTGCCTACCTCAGCCGTGCAGCATTTAAGCCAAATGGCTTAGCTGTTGCATAATGTGACATTAAAATTTAAGCACGGAATCAAAACAAACAGCAGAGTTGCACTTTGTCAGCTCCTTTCCCTTCTCTCCTCTTGCCTCCTCTTTCCTCTCTCAGTTACATTATGGCCTGCGTCCAGCTCCACACCACTGGGTATTGGTGGTGATTTCACTAGTCATACCATCAAGCCCACACCCATCCCAGTCTCTGGAGGCTTCTACATCTGCTGCTCCCAGACAGGCAGAGGAGAGATGTGGAAAGAAGAAGCCAGAGGGGTGGTGGGGAGAATGTCTTTGTTTTGGATCCATACCTAAGATGTATTTTGGTAGGAGAAGAGCCCGCGGAGAGATCTGGGTTGAGGCTGAAACTCTTGGCAGCGCTCTCGTAGCCTGGAGCCTCTATGGTAGTGTTAGCAATAACCGCTAACGCACACCCTGTGGTGTAGTGGTTTAGCTTCATCATTGCTTTGATGATGGATGTGACAGTGTTCAGACAGCTCACAGCAGCAGTAAAAGATCAGCGATGGGGCAACACTGAGTCGCTGTGATTTAGAGTTATAGAATATTTCCGGCTATATGTGGAGGGTCATGTTAAATCTGGGGTTTAAAGGTTTTGGTTTGGAGGTTTTGAAAAAAAATTGATTCAAAATGGGAGTTGAAGTCCTGAATGATGTGTTTCATGTCTAAACTCTTGACATTTTTGGACTAAAAGCCTGAAAACACTTGTTCAATTATAGATCCAAAACCTAAAGATGTTCAGGTTGCTATAATTTCTGTCAAGAAAAACAGCAAATTCGTAGAGTTTAGAAACCGGAAACATCTGATTTTAGCATTTGCCAGAAAAAAAAAAATGGTTCTATTGCTGGATATTTTTTTTGTTGCTTGGCATATCCATTGATTACCTTATCATGTCAGGTTGTTGAGGCGTTTGCTGCCACTTAATTGGATCTGTTTACACGTCTTCTCAAAACGTTCCTGGACAGATTTAGTTGCAGGAATTATTACATGTTATCGCATCGCAGCCGTCTGTTAAACCGTGGCTGCGACCACCTGTGCTTCGTCTGCGTGTGTTTGTTTTTCATAGGTGTTGAACGAATGCAGACCGGAGTGACTCACTGTATCTTGAGCTTAACCACAGGTGCCACCTCAGACTGAATCAGCGTGAACAGCTTTACGTTATAGAACATTTAAAGTCAGGGTTTCTCAGCTGAGGGGAAGCATGTGTTGTGTTATGTAGGCATACGTGTAATGTTATGCAAGAGGAGGGCTGCCAGCATTTAGGGGTTGTTTTTATCCCGCGTTAGTCACAGTAGGAATGTCGAAGATAAGTCTGTCATCATGCAAACACGCAAAATAGCCCTGCAAAGCCCCAAATGTGCAATAACTAAAGCCATATGTATAGCTGTGTGGAGCTAGGGGCAGCAACAAATGTGGCTTAAATGACAATCCTGATTATTTTCACAGACATTCTGACGTTAATCATAACTCAGAAGTTATTTGACGATATCCATGTAACACCATGCACCAGAAATGATACGTTTTTTTTATTTGAAGGCATGCTATGTACTATATGTATTTAGAAAAGCACTGTTTACTCAGCCTCACCTGTCTTAACCAACGGCCTTTAGAGAGTGTGATGTGTTTCTCATAGCTGCAGAGGAGTTATTTCCTTTTTGAGACCATTTCTGTTCTGTTGGTGGCTTTAAAAGTCAGGAAGTATTTAGAGGTCTGTGACACAAAAGGTATGTCAAGTGTAAGTCCAGAAAATGTTAAGATGCTGTGATGGAAGTGGAGGGATATTCTTAAGGTAACTACTTCTCACTGATGTTATTTTAATCCTCCACTGGGATAGTATCAACCTGCCATAGTGTGACAGCAACAAGATGCCAACAGCAATTTTTTGTGCGGTATTACTGACCAAAGAAACACAAGAACACTTAAGAACTAACAACAAAACCTCTTTCTGACCACAAAACGACACCGTGTTATTCAGCTGTAACAACCTGTTCTGTTCTGATACCTGTGAAGAATCATCAACGAGGGATTTCTTGTGTTTTCGAATCCCATCGATGAATAAGATCTGTGCTCCGCAAAAACACGCTCGTCTTTGTTTTAGCGAAACCGCTTTGTTTTACACAATTACGAGGGTTGATGTCAGTGGACTCGCTGTACTTTTATGTGGCTCTCGCATGGAAATGGGAGTTTTACTGTCACATTGCATCGCTCTGCAGCAGTGGTTCCCAACCCCGGGGTCAGGATCCCCCGATGGGATGCCGGGATCAATTTTTCGGGGCGAGATGATGATTTAAGGGGAAAGAAGGAGAAAAATGTGTCTGTTACATAATATAATGTTTATTTTAAGAAACCAGAAAATATTCACATGTAAGGAGCTGGAATCAGAGAATTTGGACTTTTTTCTCCTAAAAAATGACTGAAACTGATCAGTTGGTTATCAAAATAGTTGGCGATTAATTTATGAAATGACAACTAATCGACTAGTTGTTGCAACTGCATTTAGCACAGGGACAGAGGGACTGCGTTCCATCTGAGATACAACAGTTAACTGACGTTGTACATAAGCTAAATACTAATATTTATCCTATTAAGTGGACTGAGTTAAGTCAACTAATCATGCTTACTGAAGTTACAGTGCTGCTTAACATGGCCATTACCTAAGATGGGAGGTCAAGAGTAGATAGTGAAAATGAATGAAAGGGAAAATGCTTTAAAGTCACAGTTTGATTTTCAATTTCAATCTGCCTGTTTAGGTTAGCTTAGCGTAAAGACTGGAAGTAAAGGAAACTAGCTAGCCTGCTCTGTCCAGTAGTAATGACAATCTCTCCAGCTCACTTTAAACAACACAAACACAGAATCATACTAAAAAAACAAAAGAGCACAAACCTGTATCACCTGTTTACAGTCTTAATACTAAAGTGACTTGCTTGTACCACACAGAAATGAAAGTGGTATCTTCTAATCTAGCTCTCAGCAAGAAAACAAATAAACACACCTCCCAACATGTCAAACTAGTGTTTTAAAAACATCTGTATTCACTAGTGTATATTTTATGTTGTATATGTCCTGAAGATCAACATTCAAGTGCCTGTTTGTTTGTCGTCTTTTCAGGCCAAGCAGAAGGATGGGCGCGATCAGAGCGAGGCGTCGGCCGCGGCTTCTCCTGGGGCCGAGGAGGAGCCTTTCTCCTGGCCGGGGCCCAAGACGCTTCACCTGCGCCGAACCTCCCAGGGCTTCGGCTTCACGCTGCGGCACTTCATCGTCTACCCGCCCGAGTCTGCCGTCCACAACTCGCTAAAGGTGACAGAACATTGTCTTTTACCCCTCTGATGACACTGGGACTTTAAATATATCAAAACAAACAGCCCTTATGCCATTTAATGCAATTTAGAGCTCAGGCGTTTTTCAAGCATGCTAAATTTTCTAGAAAGTTTGAGTAAGAAAATATCCTCGTGCTGCCAAAGTAAATAAGCTTTTGTTGAATCAAGTGATGTAAGCTTGAAGCCAGATGCATCTGTCTTAATTTAAGACATTGTCATAAGAATGTATACAAAAACAGACATTGAATTGGAAACAGATGAGCTGATCTCTGACCATTGGCAGGTTTTGCAGTTGATTTAGAGAATTAAACTTGATTTTGATTGATAGTTTAAGATGAAGCAGATTATTTTTTTATGGATTATTATGTAACTGATTTGCATTTTATTGGATAGAATGTAGATATATTTACATAACACATTTTCAAACTGTTGACGGCAGTATAAACCCGAGTAGAAGAGCTTTTAAATGAGCATTTTAATTTACAAATTTGAATTTCATTGCCTTTCTCCCAGCACCAGTCATTTCCCTTTGTTGCTTCTTGTCCTCTAAGCTAACTTTGGCCTCGCTGTCAAGGGCCCAGAAATTATAACTGCTGCTCAGTGTTGCAGATTGTGATCTTAAAATGAGACTTTATTTAGCTTTTTAGTGTCAAGAACATCAGATTTGTGCGACGCTAGGGGGAAGCATAATGAGAATTATGACGTCGAGCTGCTGTTTGAACATAGCCTTAAGAAAACACAGCTAGGACAGTAGTTCCTTACAGTAAGAAAGTAGTTTCTCTGCATTATGAACATTCTGCACCTTAGTGGAAACAGCACAACCATAGCTGGAGAAAATGTTTTCTGTGCAGCATGGCGACGTTTTACTGCCATAAATCATGAGCAAGAAAAAAACAAAGCTGAATTTCTTCGATTATTTATTTTAGTAGAATGGAAAACCCCTGGAATCAGCTTACAGTAGGTTGCCAAGTGTCCACAGGTGTTTCGAATATTAGAGAAAAAAAATGGCTCTACATACTACAGATACTTTACTACTGACATTTTTAATTCGTTGCCATATCGTCCAGTTCAGCTCAGGTCAACTGAAAACTCCCAGAATTTTTTGCACATGACTATTGGTCACAGCTCTGCCACTGAAGGCTTCACAGTTGAGCCAAGTAGCGCAGAATTTTTTTTTTTTTTTTTTTTTAGAACCGTTTAAAATGAATTTTTAAAAGAAACTTATAGATAATAGTTTTATTTATATAGAACTGCACATCACAGATCAGTAATTCTGTCAGAAGGTTGTCATTCCAGTCCATCAGTATTCTGCTTGCACAGATTCAAGTTCTGATAAAGGGTGTAATTTTGGCCCTTTTTTTTAAAGATAGCATACCTTTCAAATCCACTGGTGAGTTTTGGGGTTCAATGTGACACCAGCTTTGCAGTGTTTTAGTTCAACTGTAGTGTTACTAGCCCCTGTATGTTTAGTTATATATAGCAGTTGTTTTTCAGAGCTCTTTCCTGACTTGTATCATCCCACCTGGGAACTCTTCCAGCCGTTTTCTGGACAACATCAGTACCAATCTGCGCTTTGGTATTAATCCTGACGTTACAGCACTTCCGGCCCCTAATGGGCACAGACTAACGCGGGGGCTAAAGGGCTTTGGGTGCATACGACAGGGCTCCTTTAATGGGAAAATGCGCCGGTGTTTTGAGTCAGCTCTCTCAAAGCTTATCGTGGCCTCCCTCATATTAGTTTTTGCAAGTGATAATTCAGGATAAGTTAAGTTTACTTTTCTCTGAAGTGTATTTTGACAACCTCCTCTGTTTGCACAGAAGGATTTCCTACAAAGTTAGTATAGCACGTTCTGTTTATAGCTTTTGGCTTTGGTTCTGCATGTTGAAAGAGAAACTATGGCACGACAGTTGGGCTTTTCAGACATTTGTGTAACCAAAGAGATAGACGGTTTCTCCCAGAGGTCTTCTTGGGTATCACAGTGTTGTTTCGGGCACTTTAAAGTCCAGTCTGGGCCAGTTTGTTCTGCTGTGATCTCGCTGGAACTTCATGGGATGTGATGGTTCCGCTATAGAACCGACATGAGGCCGGGTTTGTTATCTAACATGCAAGCTGAAGGAGATGAATTAGCTTTATTCTTAGACATGCTGTGGAGTAGACTCGATGTGACTCAGGACATAATTCAAACTGAAACCTTAAATTTCAGTCACACTCACTGTAAACCTTAACCAGCTCTCCCATTACGTAACCTCAGCTGACAGGGCAGGAGGAGGAGGGTTAAGAGAAAAAAAAAACCCTTGTACATTCATCACTTCTCATTGTAATTACTTTTAGGGTCTTGGATTGGAGCTCTTGACTAATCGCAGTTTGGGGTTAGCTTGAGGAGGGTCAGGCCGTCTTACGGAAAGCCCTGGGAGAGCAGGGAGTCTTAAAGGCTACATGGAGAACATATGTGTCACTGAGGGGAGGTGGATTAAAGTGGGAGTGTGTGGATTTTAACTGGGGCTCTGAGGTGAATTAAGGTTTTATGCGTTGAGGAAATGGAAAAACAGACATGGCTATGAAGTGGCTTTTTTTGTTCTACTCACTGTCGCTGTGATTGCTGTTTTAATGACTGATCTGTGCGATAATGAGCTCTCCAGTTACTCGAAATAACAGTTATTTGGATTATTGGGTTGATACTGTATGAAAATGTTTTTGGATGAAGATTTTTAGAGGGTAATAATAATCATGTTTTATCATTATTATATTTAGCGTGTCGCTGTTAGGCTACTGTTTATATTTTTGCTGTTGTGTTACAGCTTTGTGCATAGAAATGTGCCTGAATTCATTTACTATATTTTTGTTGTGACTGTTGAGTGTGTCTATTTTGTTTTAGAGCACTATGGGAAAACATTTCAAGACAATATCTGCTAAAATCCCAAACTATTCCATCTATAAAAAAAAAAAGAAAAAGTAGGAACTTGCATTACATTTTAGAGGCTTGAAAAATAACATATTTGGTATTTTTTGTTGATAAATGACTCAAATGATCAATAGATTCTTTAGATTTTATGTTTATTTTCTGTTTATCAACTAGTAGATTCATTAGCTGATTGTTGCAGTTTCAGAAGCTTTCATGGACAGGTTTTAGAAATTGTGATGAAACTAGAGATTAGTTTTGTGTTTATTCTCCTCTATTATATGTTTATTTTGGTTTGTGTATACATGTGAATGTATCGATACAACAGTATCATAAGGAAATTAATGAAATTGAATCAAAAAGCATCTGACGGATTTATTTTCTCTCTGTTTTTCCAGGATGAAGAAAATGGCAGCCGAGGTAAGTGTTCGAAACTATTTTTTATTTCATTTCTGCATGCATTAAAGACCTGCATCGTGAGCTGGGACCTCAGGTGTTGCAATGAGAAAGGCACAGAAACCGTTTACCCTCAGCTTCAGTAGCTCCATTGACTTGCGATCAAATTAGGATTGACAGCGCATTACTCTAATGTATTCGCACTGCTCGCAGATTGAAATCGACGCATTCAGATGACTCCTTGTGTCTTGGGTTGAACACTTTATTAACACTGGCACGTTTCCACCTGGGAATGATTGCAAAACCTTTATGAAAACAGCATGTTGGAGGTGAGCTTGCTTTCAGGCGGGTAGGCGGGCCGTGTTGTGCTGCAGTTTGGTGTTTAAACTCCTCCAGAGTGGCAGTCGGAGCTGCCTGTGCTGTCAGCTTGGCAGAGCCTCAGCATTCCTCAGAGCATCCGGCTTGTCATTCCAGTCCCTCAGTATTCTGCTCACGTCTGCAGCCCAGCATGAATGCAGGAGGACCGCTCTGCTGCTCCACATCAGAAGCCTTCTTAAACAACCCTGCAGCACGTCTCTGCACATAGAAACACAAGGCTCGCGTACATGCAGCTTCCATAAACACCCACAGACAGAACAGCAACATTGCGGCCTTAAAGAAATAATCAGTTTTATTAAAGCAGATGTATGCTTTGTGTTTTTAAGTGATGTAACACAGAATGGATGTTTCCTATACCACAGTTTTTGTATTTACTGTTCTAAGCGTGTTTTAAAACCACACAGCAAGTTTGTTGTTGAAATAGAGGCAGAAAAAGAGAGACGATAACCATCATTAGCTGTTTGTTTGCCTTGTAATGGCTCCAAAGCCCTACCAGGTGCGTTTCAGTAAATTATTACAGCATGAGCGGACAGTGAAAGTGAAGAATCCAGGGTTAGAGGAGGGTGAGCGGAGCGCTTCGTGATAAATCTGACTCTTAAATGCCTCTCAACGGGAAATTGAGAGATTCCTGTAAGTGTCCCTCATCATCCCTCTTGGCCCGTGGTGTCACATTCCTCATGCTACCCCCTCTCCACCCTTTTTAACCCCGCCACATCCAGCCGACTCATTCAACGCAGGCCTTAAAACATTAAACAACACACACACACACGGGGCCCTGCTGTGGCAAGAGGAAACCCTTTCGGGAATAAGTGTCTGCACATTCCTGCATGGGAGTATTACACAGTTTATGAACTTGGGTTCCTTTGTGTGACTCTACCTGAAAGCAGTCGTGTAAAAGTCACGTGCGACCGTGTTCTCGTGTCATTAAATCCTTTCGTGATAGGTGCTCGAGAAGCATCTCTAAGCTCAGTAGATGGAGAATAATGATCCTCGCCTGGAGAGTCCCCCTCCTCCTGCCACAGGAAGTCGCCTGGCTCGCTTCCAGCCTCTCATAAATCCTTCTTTGCCTCTCAGCGGGCGCCGAGACCCGGCAGTGGTGATGATGCTGGCAGGTAGCGGGATGTCAGAAACCGATGTGGGGAACGTCAGGAATTTACCAGAAAGGCTACAACAAGGGGCGCAAAATGATTCATGAACAAACATTTAGACCAGGAATATAAACTAAATGATGCGATTATTATAAATATTGGAACATTCGTTTTTTCCTGAAGGAGGAAAATGTTCAATAATTCTTCAGAAGTTAAACAAAGCCATTGAATTATGTGAAAAATGCATTGCTACAAAGCTCAGTTCAGGCAGAGTTGAAATTTTAGAGATGCAAGATCTTAACATGACACCAACATGTGGAAAAGGGACTGATGTGAAGCATAACATTTATGAAAATAGAGAATAATTTGTCACATAATTAACAAGGAAACTCATTTTAAGTTCAATTACCCTTCTGTTCTCTGCTCACGTTCTTCTTTTGACACTGAGGCTCATGAACAGAAGTCGTTTTAATAGAATAAGATCCCAGTTTTGAAGATTCTTTCAAACTCACCCAGCTGTTTAGTTTATCTGAGTCTCACTTTTTGGCAAGATGTCAAGTTTGCGACGTTCAGATCTTCACATGACAGGGCAGTAATGTTTTATTGTTAAAGCAAGCAAGTAGTTGGTTAAGATGAAAGAACAAGAGATATTAATCTGACCATGACTGTCTCGTTTCATTTGGTATCAATCTGCATCCAGCTGAATCTCATGTGGCGGAGCTGGTTGGTTAGTTTGTGTCTATTCCCTGAAAGAGGACACAGAACCTCACTGCTCCCGGTGTCGTGAAAAATTGAGGGTTTTGGCCAAAAGTAACCAGCTTCAGTGTTGTAACTGCCTCTTTATCGCAAAGTTATGGCTGCTTGTTTGCAACGTATAATATCAGCAGTACCTTTTACACATAAACCGCAGCCTGACAACACATGGAAAAAGTGCGTCATGCTAGTTATATATTATGCACTGAAACAGTCAAGCCAAGAGTCGTAGTTCTTCACTGTACTTTATTGATGCCGTTAAAGGCTAAATCGGTTGAATTATGTGTGTAGAAATAGATTTCATGATAGCATTTGTTGCTCAGTTCAGGTTTCTTAAATTGATGTTAAATCCTTACTTTAATAGGACATGAGGACCGATGTAGTAAGCAATAATATTTAACCTCTATGTAGCAAAATGTATTGATAGGCTTATTTTCTGAACCTTCATTTTTACCCTTGGAAGCTACAGTGGACTTAAATACCTCAACATAAGCAGCATGTTTGTGTATCTTTAAAGTGTTTTGGAAGTTTTAGGCCAAATTAAGGATTATAAGGTTCTTAATGTGATGATTAAATTCTTAAATTCATCTGTCAAAGATGCTTTCGTGGTTTTGAGGAGACAGTGAGTCCAGTAGGATAACATCAGGTAGTAGCACCATAGTTTAGTTGCATCCCACGACTGGGATGAATATCGTTTAGTAAAAGCTTTTTCCTATTATTTTGTTTATTTTTTTTGCTTGTGGATGAATGTAGGTCACTTTAACTATTTAGCTGTGGTAGCTAACGTTATTGCAAATGTAGCAGCTGCTTATAATGTTTAATAAAACTGGTGCTATAGTTGCACTTTCAATGTTAAACTCGCTTATATAAGAGCAAACTGCAAAAGTCCTTTGTGTTCTAAACTTTGCCGGTGTTTCAATAAAGTCACAGTAAAAAAATAAAATATATCAATCGAAGTGCACTCAGAGATATAGTCCTCTGTCAAGACCTATGTCCTATCTCATAATTTAAAGAAAAAAACTGAATGTTAGTGGGCTCTTCCTTTGCAAATGCTCCATTTCTTCACCAAGTTTCATGGAATTCAGCCTTGTAGTTTTTGCATAATCTTGAAATCATACCTCTGCTTCAGCTCCACCTTTTTGGAGAACATTATGTAATTGTTAGTTCATGTGGGATCTGTGGTTTCCCTCCATCTGTGTGCCAGAAAATTGTCATCAAAAGTTGTCCTCTGATCTACCTGCTTAAATAGATCTACTGTTCCACGTTGTAGACGACAAGAAATTGAATTTGTGGTAAATTTAATCTTATTAGCGAACTATTTTCAGGCTTTTTGCCATTTTGTAAATGAAAACATCCTAACACCTGCAGGTTTAACTTACAAGGTCCATGTAGTAGCTGCTTTAGAGGTTCTGATCCTACAGTACAGCATTATGAAACCTGTCTTAGAGGATGATGTTTAGCTGCCTACTTTTATTATTTCACCACTTCAAGATCAAAAAAGTTGCTAAAAAAGTTGAGATTTAAAGTTAATCTTTGACTTTCTCCCGTCTTTGCTCAATAAGCAACATGCAGCCAAATAATGACCATCAGCGAAATTAATAAGGATGTTTTAACCCCTAGACGATTGGCTTTGGTGTTATTTCTCACTGATGTGTACAAATTGTTATCGTTGCTACGTGACAACCGCGGACACCGCCGATCACAATCATCGCAAACGGCTCCAAGACACTCATCACATCATCGAAAAGCCACGCAAACACACACACATTATCTCACACAAACCCAGACAGATAATACATCCCATGTGCTTGGTTATTTTAATGTTTAATAAAAAAAAAAGTTGCATTCTGCCCGAGTCAGGTCTGCGGAGTTCACTGCAGCCTCCCCAGCGCGCTGCAGTGCAGTTTATTTGCTTGACTCCGGGCCAGTGTGTGTGATGAGGCTGTTGGTGTTTGGAGAGGAGGACTGGGTGGTGGGGGGGGGAGGCTGACCGCATGTTGACTAGCTGGGTGTTGCCGCTGGAAACACTTCAAACCTCCAGAAAAGCACACACACAGTCGCACCGGCGGACCCACACACGCTGATGTCGATACACACACACGCATAAACAAACATAAACATTGATGTACAGTATGTAGTGCAAACACAGAACCAACCTGGACACTCCTTACTTTGTGTGGATCTGTTTGTTTCCTTTCACAGCGGTTGTGTACATACCGAGCGGCTGTTATCCCAAATCTCCCTCTCTATCTCACTTCCTCTCTTCTTCCCTCCCTCCTCTGTCTGTCTCTCCCTTTCCTGTGTGTCCTTTCACGTCGTATTTTAGCAAGCCGTCGAAGGGTCGAATCCGAATGAGCCGTTCCGCGCAACGCTCGTGAGACTGCACAGCGAGAGAAGCAACATAAAAATTTCTCCATCTGTTCAAATATTTGCTTTGCATTCAACGTGAGACTCTTTTTCTCTGCAGATACCAGCTTTATTTCCTCCCTTTTTCTTTTTCTGTTTTTTTTTTTTTCCCTTCTCTATTCCGTCAGTTTTCGGTTCGTTCCCATAAAGTCTGCAGAGGGAACGTAATGCAGCACAAGCAAACAGAATTCCCCTGTATTCTCCAGTGGGCTTTTTTATTGCCCCACCTTTTTTAACAAAGATGTGTCCAAAGTTTTGTCTTTTCCCTGAGTTTCTCCGTCTCTCTCTCTGCTTCTCACACTGCCTTTCCCCTTATCCTTCTCCATTTCTGCTTCTGCCTATTTCTATTTTCTCAGTGACTTCTTGACATTTTAGAGTTTTGTTACCATTAGGCCTCGC